ACGCCTCGTCTTCTCATTCATTTCCTTCGTTAGTTACAATTCCGTCTATTGCTGATGTTCGGTTGGCGAGCGCCGGTGTTTTATATAGCCAAAACCGCACCATCTGCGCTCAGGAGGGACATTATCAGCAGACTCAGAGGTGGGATCCCTGGGTTTGCAAAAGCACAAATAAAATCTCCCAAGGGGGAAGGGGGGACCCCAAAACAGCCCAGTGAGGACTGAGCATGAACAGTCACCCACAGAATGCAGATTTACTGGGGGTCTTTTGGAGGAGGGGAAACAGAGAGATGAAGGGGACGTGGCTGAAGGGGAATGCTCCACACACCGACACATCATTGCGAGTCCCACTTTTTCCCATGTTCTATGAATGTGCTCATTATTATTATTATTATTATTAAAAGCTGCCTAAACTAGGGTTAAGGGACGCAGGTGGCACTGTGGGTTAAACCACAGAACCTAGGACTTGCCGATCAGAAGGTTGGAGGTTCGAATCCCCGTGGCGTGGTGAGCTCCCGTTGCTCGGTCCCGGCTCCTGCCAACCTAGCAGTTCAGAAAGCACCTCAAAGTGCAAGTAGATAAATAGGTACCACTCTGGCAGGAAGGTAAACGGCGTTTCCGTGCGCTGCTCTGGTTCACCAGAAGCGGCTTAGTCCTGCTGGCCACATGACCCGGAAGCTGTACGCCGGCTCCCTCGGCCAATAAAGCGAGATGAGCGCCGCAACCCCAGAGTCGGCCACGACTGGACCTAATGGTCAGGGGTCCCTTTACCCTTTACCGAAACTAGGGTTACAGGCTCACAGCCATGCTGTGTGTTCAAAGGACATGAATTTTCTCCAAAGCATCCTTGGAAGCTGCGGTCTACCCCTCACAAAGCTACAGTTCTCAGCCTTGCTTAGTGAACTAGTGCTCCCAGGATTCTTGGTGGGGGAAGCTATGTGCTTTTAAAGTGTGTTAAATGTGCAGGTGTCAGCTGTGGCCACATCTTGTGGCAGTGAGCTCCACAGGCTAAGTGATGCATGGAATGAAGAACCACTGGCTTTTCACCCACGCCAGCTCAATTGCCCATTATTTGGCTTGGGCAAGTCATGGTATTTCAAGGCCCAAACTACACATCACATGTGCAAGAGCTGCCCAACAGCTCATTCAGATCTGCTTTCGTTTGGGGCAATCAAATGTGGAGAAGATGCAGCAGGAGGAGGCACTTAAACCTTGCCCTTTCTGCTATTTCCCAGCTCAGAAATCACCCCCCCCAAGTGACTTTCTCTTGTCCTCCCACTGTGGAGATTTGAAAGCATCCCCGTCAGGGAGGATTAATTTAAGTTGAGGCAATTGAACTAATAATTTAGAACACCAGAGGGGAGGGAAACCAATGATTAAATCAGGTTCCGTATTTTGTAAACCATGCGTTTTCTGAAATAAAGACTGCATACCCGTCGGCTGCGATGACAAATTCAAGAGATAATGGTTTGCAACCAGATTAAGTAGCTGGACTTTCCTGGAGCCAAATGCAAAACCACTCCAATGAATGCAGCTCACAAGTCTGTTGAGCAACCCAGTTTTGTCTGTTTTGAGAAACCCGAGGCAATTGTGAGATTAACAGATCTGTGCAATTTCACTGTGCAATTTCAAGGACAGTGAGCAAGATCACTTATGTGAAGACAAAAGAATCTGAAGAAGTGTGCATGCACACGAAAGCTCATACCGATAACAAACTTAGTTGGTCTCTAAAGGTGCTACTGGAAGGAATTTTTTTATTTTGTGAAGACAAGAAACAGCAAAGCATTGTTGTTGTTTAGTCGTTTAGTTGTGTCCGACTCTTCATGACCCCCTGGACCAGAGCACGCCAGGCACTCCTGTCTTCTACTGCCTCCCGCAGTTTGGTCAGACTCATGTTTGTAGCTTCGAGAACACTGTCCCACCATCTCGTCCTCTGTTGTCCCCTTCTCCTTGTGCCCTCCATCTTTCCCAACATCAGGGTCTTTTCCAGGGAGTCTTCTCTTCTCATGAGGTGGCCAAAGTATTGGAGCCTCAGCTTCAGGATCTGTCCTTCCAGTGAGCACTCAGGGCTGATTTCCTTCAGAATGGAGAGGTTTCCTGAAGAATGGAGAGCAAAGTATTACATCACCTCAAAGCAGCAGTGGGGGGACCTGTGGGCCTCCAGACATTGTGGGACTCCAGTTCCCATCAGCCCCAGCCAGCATGACCAATGATCAGGAATGAAGGGAGTTGAGGTCCAATAATTTATGGAGGTTCTCCACCCCTGTCTTAAAGACTAACAGATATATTTCCCTAAAGACAAGGGCCATGATCAATAACAGGACTGTACTGTACCCCCCCAATTTTTTCAGAGGCAAAGCTGGTAATTGATGGAGAAAAACAACTTTTCTCCAGGAGATGAAATGTAAATAACCACGTGGTTTACGGAGCCACAGGTATTCATTCTTTGCTCCAGCTCTCAACACGTGGGGCTGTTTCCAATGTTAGACATACTCAGACCCATTGGAATTAGGGAACATGACTAAGGCAGGGGACACATTATCTGCTTAAAACACAGCTAAGTCGTTATTTTTATCAATTCAGATTGAAGCTGGCTTGGGGATAATGCGTCAAAACATTGCATTTCTTAAGAAAAAACCCAGGATAGATGTGGATTTTGGCTAATGCTGTGTGAATGGTGCTACCCGAAGCAGCAGTGGTGGGAACACACTGGATGCACAGTAAACAGGTGTGCTTACAGAGCCTAACCTAGACGCATTAATTTCAGCGAGTCAGCTCTGAGTAGGACTTAGTTGGATCCTTGGTTTATAATTTAACTTGCTTATCAGTATTAAAATTCAGACTTAATTTATTATTATTATTATTATTATTATTATTATTATTATTATTATTATTCCCTGCCCAACTGGCTGTGTTTCCCCAACCATTCTGGGCGGCTTACAGCCTCGGACCAGTATACCTGAAGGAGTGTCTCCACCCCATCATTCAGCCCAGACACCGAGGTCCAGCTCTGAGGGCCTTCTGGCGGTTCCTTCACTGCGAGAAGTGAGGTTGCAGGGAACCAGGCAGAGGGCCTTCTCAGTAGTGGCTCCCGCCCATCAGATGTCAAGGAAATAAACAACTATCTGACTTTTAGAAATCATCTGAAGGCAGCCCTGTTTAGGGAAGTTTTTAATGTTTGATGTTTTATCACTTTATTTACTTATTATAATTCTGATGGGAGCCGCCCAGAGTGGCTGGGGAAACCCAGTCAGATGGGTGGGGTATAAATAATAAATTTGTTGCTGTTGTTGTTATATCAAAACATAATAAAACATTAAAAACTTCCAGATACGGGGCTGCCTGTATTTAAGCTACATCACATTTTTTAAAGTGGCATTTAATATAACTGTTGTTGTTTTTTAAAACTGATTTAATTGAAAACTATTTTGAGCATTTAATTTAATTTCACTTAAAATAATTTTTATCTAGTTGTCTGTGGAGAGGATTTGGAATGGGGAAATGGCAGGAAGCGAAAGCACGGAGGGCGCCTTCCTTGTTCCAGCTTCATCTAATAAAGCTGAACATTGGAAAATTCGGGACCAATAAGAGAAGGTCCTTCTTCACAAAGTGAATAGTTAAACTATGGAACTCACTCCCGCAGGAGACAATGAGGGCCGCCAATATGGCTTGCTTTAGAAGTAAAAGGTAAAGGTAAAGGTACCCCTGCCCATACGGGCCAGTCTTGACAGACTCTAGGGTTGTGCGCCCATCTCACCTAAGAGGCCAGGGGCCAGCGCTGTCCGGAGACACTTCCGGGTCACGTGGCCAGCGTGACAAGCTGCATCTGGCGAGCCAGAGCCGCACACGGAAACGCCGTTTACCTTCCCGCTTGTAAGCGGTCCCTATTTATCTACTTGCACCCGGGGGTGCTTTCGAACTGCTAGGTTGGCAGGCGCTGGGACCGAACAGCGGGAGCGCACCCCGCTGCGGGGATTCGAACCGCCGACCTTTCGATCGGCAAGCCCTAGGCGCTGAGGCTTTTACCCACAGCGCCACCCGCATCCCAATTGCTTTAGAAGAGGACTGGGTAAATTCACGAAGGCTATTGATGGCTACTAGCCATGCAGGCTATGCTTTGGATGCATTAATGCTTCTGAATACCAGTTGCTGACACCATAGGATGAGAAAGTGCTCTTGTTCTCAGGTCCTGCTTGCAAATTTCCCACAGGCTTCTGGTTGGTCCCTGTGAGTACAGGATGCTGGACCGGGGGGGCCATGGGCTGGATCCAGCAAGCTCTTCTCACATTCTCATCTTTCGAAACCACCCAAAGAGACTTTGCCTGGTGTAGATCACCTGCTGGACTTTTATATTACACACATTTGCAGAACAGGCCGCAGCAGAGCCAGTGTGGTGTAGTGGTTAAAAGCGGTAGACTCGTAATCTGGTGAACCGGGTTCGCGTCTCCGCTCCTCCACATTCAACTGCTGGGTGACCTTGGGCTAGTCACACTTCTCTGAAGTCTCTCAGCCCCACTCACCTCACAGAGTGTTTGTTGTGGGGGAGGAAGGGAAAGGAGATTGTTAGCCGCTTTGAGACTCCTTTGGGTAGTGATAAAGCGGGATATCAAATCCAAAATGATCAAGGGGCTGAAGCAAATCCCATACAAGGAAGAAAGGTTTGGGATTTTTCATTGGGACGAACTTGACGCACAACAGAAAAGTGTTTCAGGGTTAAATCATTTTAAAGAGGAACAAAAGATGTGCAGAGAGAGGTCAGCACATCCCTAGCGGTGCCTGTGAGACACCCACCCTATATAAAGTTCCTCTCTTTCCCTGGTAGCTATTCCGGAAGCTTCTCCTTGCGTGACGTTGACAGGCAAACACACACACAGGGATGTCTGAATGACAAGGGAGCTTGGAGGCAAATGAGGCCATGTGCCCGAAAATACAGTACGTTCTAATGGAGTGCCCTTTTCTCTCTCTCTCTCTCTCTCTCTCTCTCTCTCTCTGTCTCTCTGCAGCTCAGCTCCAATGAGTCACCGTCCCCCAGTGAGATTCCAGGCCAGGAAGAAAAAGGTGAGTGAAAGCAGCTGGCGCGCGCGCGCGCGCGCACACACACACACACGCTCTTCATCGTCTCCTCCTCTTTGTTCCAGGCTGCCAACTTCTCTGCCAGTCTCAGGGGCATCATCCCCACGCAGCCCCATCCTGGGGAAAACCAAGGCTATTTACCCTATTTATGTCGCCTTCCACACACGTTTCAAGGCAATGCAAAACATGCAATTAAAAACAGCTGGAAAATAGTTTTGGTTTTTTTAATGATGCAGAAAATAACAGCAGATAAATCTGAAAACAATAGCAAGTAGAAACCCATGGAAGAGACTAGACCTCCAGCTGGGAAAGTTTATAGGAACAAAAAATGTCTTCTGTTGTTTCCGGAGAGCACAGATAGTGGGTGTCAGAGCTGCCCCAGGTCCCAGCTCACAGAGGACCAACGCCAGTCCGTTGCTATATTAAATAGTCTTTATTGAAGTTCAGTTTCTCATTTACAGCCACGGCGCGCAGCTCTACGTCTTAAACCCTAGACCGCTGAAGCTCCGTCTGAGTCTCCTCCCCCCAGACACCAGTTTAAGACCCTAGCCTTGCTCCACCTCTTTCTCTGCTCCCTCTTCCTCTGGGTCCGCCTGTCCGCCAGGGTTTTCCCCTTTCTAGACTCTTCTGACGCTGACTCCCCCGAGTCTTCCCCCTCCCTCCGGCGGGCTTTAGGACCTGGTTCCCAATCCGGGCTTTCTGCTGTCCCGCGCGCCTGTACATTTGAACTTGGTGCGCGCGCCCAGCCTGCCACCTTCCTTCTGACCGTTATACTGCTCCTGTCGCTGCTTGCCGGAGGAGACGCTGACTCTGACCTATGGGACTCTTCCCCCCCACTACGCTCCGGTGGGGAAGCTGGCCCTGATTTCCAGCTACTGCTCTGGGAGTCTCCGCTGGCCCCCTGCTTCTGGTGTGTCCCCCCTGGGACCCCCCTTGCCCTGGCCATCGGCGCCCCCTTCTGGGAATCTTCTGATTCACTGGAGAGGCTCATGGAATCTCTCGGGTCACTGTCATTCTGCCCTCCGCTGCCCTCAGATTCTTCCCCTTCGCTCTCCATTTCCTCTCTCCCCTGCGCCTCTGCTCCTGAGCCCCTGACAGTGGGGCACTTATGGTATCTGGAGAGGAATGGTGTTCTACGGTACGGGGGGAGGGAGTCCCATTGTAGTTTAGTATAGGGTGGGCTTCTGAGATATTTGGGTCTCGAAGGCGACGTTGTCCCGCAGCCCATTGGGTATCGAACATTAGTCCTATTTCGAGCAGAGCCACTGAAAATAATGGAAATGACTCACTTAGGCCACATTCATGCCATACATTTAAAGCAGCAAAATCGAAAGCAACATGATGGCCAGAAACAATTACAGTATAGAAAACTTTATGGAATAGTGCAAAACATCAAAACTATCAAACTGAAGTCTCTGAAAGTCCTTGAATAAGTCACGGTGCCAGACTTTAGCCGGAGGAGATGAAGCTTATAAAGGTTTGTATAACTGGCAAATGTCCAATTCTGATGTCCAACTCTGAACTCTGCTAAACAGTGTTTCCGGATAGCAACTACTGTTTCGTTCAGTTCTTCATCAGCCAGTTAGTTCAACAAACACTCGTAAGTAGAAAGATGTGAATTTCTTCATTAACCAATCTTTTTTCGAATTTATATAATATACATGAAAATGAAAAGTACTCTGGAACAGTGCTCGTGCGATTATGTAGTCTCCGCCGTGTAAAGTCTGGCACCGTGACTTCAGTCTGATAGTTTTGATGTTTTGCATTATTCCATAAAGTTTTCTATACTGTAATTGTTTCTGGCCATCGTGTTGCTTTCGATTTTGCTGAGTCATATTTTGCAACAGGGGTTTGTTTGTTGGTTGGTTGGTTTATACATTTAAAGCAGTCATGGCTTCCCAAAAATAATTATGTTGTTGTTGTTGTTTAGATTTATATAGTGCCCTTCATCACAAGATCTCACAGGATAAAAATACAAGGTGAAAACACAAGTAAATACAGTAGTTAAAACAACAAAAAGCAAAAGCCTCCCCACACATTTAGACAGCTGTAGAATTAGTTAACGGTGCTGAGAGTCATTAGGCACACACACACACACACACACACACACACACACACACACCATTCTGCTCACAGGGCTACAATTCCCAGAGTGGTTTAACACCCACTCCCAAATAATTTTGGGAATAGTAGTTCTGTAAGGAGAGTTGGGGTCTCCTAACACCTCTCTGCATCCCTAACAAACTGCAGCTCCCAGCATTTTGGGGAGAATCCATGGCTGCTTGATGTGGCAAGATAATGCTTTAAATGGATGGCACGAATGTGGCCTTAGCCTCATTATTTTGAATGGGTCTACTCTGTGTATAATAGGAGACAACCCATAAGACAGGCTCCGTAGAAGGCAGCTTCCTCTGTTCTGATGAGTCTCCATTAAGCCTTCATTAAAGGGAGCTGCTGCTGCTCTAACCATGGAAATGCGACTCGACAAGGTCTGACCGAGGGCACTCAATGCCACTTGGGCAAATTGCTGTAACGAGAGAGCGGACAAAAAAGGGCAGGCGATGGCATCCCGGAGTGCTGGAGAGGAAGGGAAGGCTCAGAGGAGAATGACACTCTGCAGCTGCTAGCAGATCCCCTTTGCTGAGCATGACAGCTTATTCCTCTAGTCTAGGATGCTCTTGCCAGACACTCAACTGCAAAGGAGAAGGGCCTTGATCGCTTGGGGGCGGAACATCTGCTTTGCAGAAGGTCGCAGGATCAGTCCCAGGCATCACTGTGTAGAGTTTATCATTGCCCCCTGTTTGAAACCCTAGAGAGCTGTTGCCAGTCAGAGTAGACAATACTTTGCTGCATAGACTTGGTATAAGGCAGCTTCTCCTGTTGGGGAAGGGTCACAGTTCCGCAACTGATCATCTGCTTTAGTAAAGGGACTCCTGACCATTAGGTCCAGTCGTGACCGACTCTGGGGTTACACCGCTCATCTCGCTTTATTGGCCGAGGGAGCCGGCGTACAGCTTCCGGGTCAGGTGGCCAGCATGACTAAGCCGCTTCTGGCGAACCGGAGCAGCACACAGAAATGCCGTTTACCTTCCCGCCAGAGTGGTACCTATTTATCTACTTGCATGTTGATGTGCTTTTGAACTGCTAGGTTGGGAGGAGCAGGGACAGAGCAACGGGAGCTCACCCCCTTGCAGGGATTCAAACCACCGACCTTCTGATCGGCAAGTCCTAGGCTCTGTGGTTTAACCCAAAACACCACCCGTATTATCAGGTAGACCCAGGAGAAGGCTCCTTTCTGAAACTTTGGAGAGCGCTGCCAGTCAGTGCTGAGCTAGATGGACCAATCATCTGTCTTGGTATAAAGGACCAAGAAGCAGCTGCCATTAACTCTCCCTCCCCTTCTTTACTGGCTTGTTGCTTGAGAGTTAGTTCTGTTAGCTCCTACCTTTTCTCCAGGGCACTCAAGGTGCTGCGTGTGGTTCTCCCTCTTCCCATGTCATCTGCACAACAATCCTGCAAGGTGCTTCATGGCTGAGTGCGGTATTTGAACCCTGGTCTCCATCTCTTGCTCCAGGCCAGCAGTCAGGTCTGGCAAAATGTAGAGCTAATGTCATCAGGACCATGGAGGTTTCCTTTAAGGGCCAGATGCAGGAAGAGGCTCGGTACTGAGAAGCAGGAAGTTTGGGACTTTGTTGCTCCAACATTTGAAATTCTGAATGTTCTGCAAAAATTTTGGAGGTGGGGGTTACATCAGAACATGGAAGGGGAGAAAGCATCCCTCTATTGTATTTTATTTCGAGTGGGGAGCAGGAGTCGAAGGAGGATGTGTGAAACTCGTCGGTTGTCTTCTTCCCTGCATGATGGGGAATTAGGCTTGGCAGGAAGAATAGCAGTAAGGAATGCTGGCAAAATCTGCACCCAAAAAAATCTCCCCTCCAACTTTCCACAGAGATCCAGTTTCCTTTTGAAATTCATTTGCATTAGAGGCCTGTGTATATCATCATCATCATCTTATTTGTTTCCACCTTTCCATAGCTAAAACCATGATCTAGGCAGCTTTGTTGTTGTTTAGTCGTTTAGTCGTGTCCGACTCTTCGTGACCCCCTGGACCAGAGCACGCCAGGCACTCCTGTCTTCCACTGCCTCCCGCAGTTTGGTCAAACTCATGCTGATAGCTTCAAGAACACTGTCCAACCATCTCGTCCTCTGTCGTCCCCTTCTCCTTGTGCCCTCCATCTTTCCCAACATCAGGGTCTTTTCCAGGGAGTCTTCTCTTCTCATGAGGTGGCCGAAGTCTTGGAGCCTCAGCTTCAGGATCTGTTCTTCCAGTGAGCACTCAGGGCTGATTTCCTTCAGAATGGAGAGGTTTGATCTTCTTGCAGTCCATGGGACTCTCAAGAGTCTCCTCCAGCACCATAATTCAAAAGCATCAATTCTTCAGCGATCAGCCTTCTTTATGGTCCAGCTCTCACTTCCATATATCACTACTGGGAAATCTAGGCGGCTTACAACATGTAAAAAAAGTTTACATATTTACAAACATAACAAAAGTAGTCATGAACAATAAATAAAACACATCAGGAAGTGCACAACCAAACTGAACAATTTCGACAGAAATCATATGTATAGCGTAGTAAGATCTAAAAATAAAGATGCAAAAAATTAAAATCAGTAACACAAAACCACATAAACAATGCCCCAGCCCAAGTTCAATGTCCTCACCTTTTCCAGGTGGAGTGGGTTGTCTTCCTTTCCATCACACTTCCATTTACTCTGAATTCAGTGCTGGTTTGGAAGTAGTGCACAGAAAACATGAGCCAAAATCCATATCGATCCTGTCATTTTTTAAAAATGAAATATTGCATACTGGTGTGTTTCCGCCCAGACTGGCTTTGATCCAAATTGAGAAAAAGAACAACCCAGATGCATGCTAAGCCTGTAATATGTTCTCAGACTTAATTAAGGGCAAGGGAGTTAATGACTAAGCAGCCCATAAGAACTTAAGAACTTACAACTGATTTTTTTCATTATTAAACTTGACCGCATGCCTTTGCTTTGGGTCAGGTAACATAATCAAAACAATGTTTTTCCTACATGCACACACTTTTTAAGAGTCAGAATCAAGCATGGATTACCTCAGGAACATAGGGAGACGCTTTATACGAAGTGAAAACATCAGCCCATCTGGCTCTGTATTGTCCACGGTGACTGGCAGCAACTGACTGGGTTTCAGAGATGGTTCTCTCAGTCCTACCTGCAGATTCTGAGGACTGAATCAGGGACCTTTTTCTACTTGAGAGTTGACGGCAGCCCAAAGTGTGAATATCTATTATAATTATAATTAATAATAATACAAAAATCCTTAATGTGAAATGATGGTGGGTTTTTCGTTATTCATATATTAGCTCCCTTTCATTCCTTTTTTTAAAAAAATGTTATTTATATATCTTTTTAAATTTGCCCTTACCCCCCCCCCTTAGTTATATTTGTGAATAAAAGATTAACTTTTTTTAAAAAAGGTTCTATCAACTGATAGCGGGGGGTGGAATTATGTTCAACTAGAAGGGAGAAGAACCTGTGACCCTCTAGATGTTGCTGGACTTAAGACTCCTATCCTCCCAAACAACTGGCCATGACGTTTGGAGCTAATGGGATAGATAAAAACGTGAGGAAGTTAATGTGTGAGCACACACCTCCCTTCCAACTTCCACGCCCACCCTCCACACACTTTGTCCCTGTTCTAGACAGTGATTGTGGCCTGAGTAAGGCGGGCTGTCATTCACAGAACGCCAAAGGAAGAAAGGGTGGGAGGAATAGAGGCAGTGGTACTTAGGCCCCGTCAGCTAATGGTTGCTAGGCAACCTGGAGGCTGTGATGCTTTCTGCCCTTGCAGCTCTCTGCCTGTGGTTGCTAGGCAACCCAATATCCATGCTGCCCTGACCACCTCTAGGGCAGGGCAGGGCTAGGCTGTGAAGGTCAGCGCCCTCACAGGGCCTACTCAAAGAGTAGACTGTGCTCTGGCACTGATGTCCCGAGTTCAAAACGCACGCAGGCCGCACCTCTGGTGGAGGGCAGGCATAAATGGCTACTTCAAATGTCCTGAAGTGTCTTGATCCTTTTTTGGCTTCCCATTTGGATGCTTTTTTAAAAAGTGCTTTTTTATTTTATTTTTTATGTGCTGAAAGCCACCCAGAATGGCTGAGGAAACCCAGATAGGCGGGATATAAATAATAAAATTGTTATTTTATTTTTACAACTGAAAATTGGCACATGTACATGTTCTCCTAAATCAGGAGACACCAATGTGGTGCCCTCCTGGACGCTAACTCCCATTACCCCAGCCAGCATGGCCAGTGGTCAGGGATGATGGGAATTGTAGTCCACCAATATCTGAGGGCATCACATTTAATACCCTCATCCAAGTTTCTGCCTACCAGCAGCTGCCTATTCAGGGCCAGATTAAGGCCCTAAGCACTGAAAAGATATGGTTCCCCCAATATGTAATTCAAAATGAAAGCAATGCTAAACCATGCAATAAAAAAATGTTTTTCAAAATCACACAAAACTGAGATGCCTGCTGAAATGAAAGCAGCTACTTCTACATGACGACTTTGATGCTTTTTAAAATATCAAATGTCAAATTCTTCAATAATTTTTTCTTTCGCTGCTGCTCTTGGCTGACACCCTAAGCACGTGCCGAGCCTGTTTATTGGGTAATCCAGCACTCTCTGTCGATTTGATTTAAATATACTGACCCTGTGGAGTGGGAGGAGGAGCAGATCCAGGGCAGGATTTGGGTGGTTGGGACGGATCATCAAAAATGGGGGCAGAGTGAAGACTGAACATGACAGCTTATGTGGGTGAAGGCTGGCAGCATCCCGAGTTTATTGGCTCTTAAGAACCACAACTACCTAGTTGCTGGCAAAGGACTGTTATATTGTTCGGGCCTGTGAAACAGGGGCAGGATAACCTGTGGTCCTTCAGATTCTGTAGGACTGCAGCTCCCTCCATCCCTAGCCAATGGGCCATACTTGTTGGGTTAATGGGAGCTGCAGTCTGACACACTTACCTAACCAATGGCTGATTGGCTGAGAGGGATCTGTACTCTTTGTAGTGGTGTCTGCTGCCGGGGGACACAGAAGCCGTGGTCCTCTGTCTCCTTCAAACAACAGTTGCTGAGTTATAGTGTCATTTCAGTCATGTCAGGGGTCGCCAATGTGGTGACCTCCAGCTGTTGTTGGACTCCGATCCCCATCAGCCTCAGCCAGGCGTGATCAATGTTCAGCGTTGATGGGAGTTGTAGTCCTGTGGAGTCCATTTGGCTTGAAAGAAATGGAGCAACACATTTGGAGGAGTCAAAACTGTTGTAAGCCCTAGCTCCATCTGTTGAGATTTACTGCAAGAGACCCGCAAGACAACGGTAGATTTTCCTCATGTTTTCCCGCATTGCTGATTAGTACACCAAGGATGACCTTTAGGGAGAGTGATAGCTACCTTGCCAGATGAAGACCCCCTCCTCATCCTGTAAACACATGCAGAAACTGCTTGCCTGAGAGTTGGACTACAGGGTACTGCTGGTTTACCTGAAACTGTTCTTAACCTGAAGCACCACTTTAGCTAATGGGGCCTCCCACTACCACCGCGCTGCCGGAGCATGATTTCTGTTCTCATCCTGAAGCAAAGTTCTTAACCCGAGGTACTATTTCTGGGTTAGCAGAGTCTGTAACCTGAAGCGTATGTAACCAGAGGTACCACTGTACAAGGCGCCAGCCAACCATCTTAGGGACTCCACTCTGTTTTTGTCTAGGGTTTACTCCTTCTCTTTTCCCAAAGATGTCCCGCTCAGTGTTTACTCCCGAAGCCTTCCTCACGGATTAGTACAGCTGCAAGGCAGTGAAGGTTTAGGATGAGAGTTTTCCTCCCCCAAGATGAGCTACCTTCCCAGGTGACGAGTCCCACCTGCCCTTACATCCCTCTACAGCATGTTCAGAAACTGCCTTCTGGACCCACTATTGGTCTTGTCCACTCAACTCTCAAGAACCTGTCTTCACGTGCAGGGGAAGCCCCTAACTCATTGAGGGTTTGAGACCCATCAGCTCCCCTCACCTGGTTTATTCTTTTATCTGCCTGAACCATCCGTTCCGTTTTCTTGGGTGTCCACGAATTCTAGAATTATGAGGGAGAAAAACTCTATATCCACTTTCTCCTTGCCTGGCATAACTTTATAAACTTCTATCATGTTGCCTCTTTTTTGCCTTTTCTCTGAGCTAAGAAGTCCGAAACGCTGCAACTTCCCTTGCAGCAGAGTCGCTCCACCCTTTCGATCACTTTTGTGCAAATGTCCGCTACGGTGCCATTCCCTTCTGTGTTTTCAATGCGTGCACCTGTCGATTCTCCACACAGACAAAGCGGGGAGTGCCAAGAAGGTGGTAGAAGCAGAAGAAGAGGAAGTAGACATTGACCTGAATGCGCCCGAGACGGAGAAGGCCGCCCTCGCCATCCAGGGGAAGTTCCGGCGCTTCCAGAAACGGAAAAAGGACCCCAGTCCCTGAACGGCAGCAGCTGCAGCGGCACCAAACCCACCTCTCCCGTCTCCCATGCCACCCCCCACCCCTCCGCCACGACACACAGCCTGCCTTACCCTAACGTCCCCTTATCCTACCCATATTAGGTGGGGCTAGTGGTATTTATTTTTTTGCACGTACTGTAATATATTCAAAGCAAGGGTGGGGCTTGGACCCTCTCCGGAGTTTGGGGAGGGGGGGTAACAAACAAAACAGGGGGCTACCCTCAAGCTCACGTGCCACTCACCCACGGGAGGGCGCTCCCACTTTCCAATAGCCATGATGATAGCCGCGTAGCCAACGTCCCTTCACTGAAAGCCATTGAGAAAGCGCTAGGTTGCAGTGGGCAGGGTGGTGAGAGGCAGTGAAGAGAAGGGGGCAGGCCAGCCTTGGGACAGAGGTAGAGAAGATAGCCATTGCTAGACTTGTAATATTTTAATGCGTTTTTAAAAAATATCTGCACTTTGAAAAATTAGCCTGCTGCTATCCCCCACTGTGGTTTGGCGGGTCAGGTCAGACTTGCCCACTGCCCAATTCAGGGTTTGTTTGTTTCTTTGCTAGTAAACAAAATGAAAAGCCTTATAGCTGCTCTTCCCCCACCCCCTCCAATATATAGAGATATATAGATATATAATTATAATAATAATAGTTTTTTATTTATATGCTACCCATCTGACTCTGGGTGGCCTCCAGCAAAATATAAAAACACCATAAAACATTAAAAACTTCCATATACAGGGCTGCCTTCAGGTGTCTTCTACAAGTCATGTATGTTTGGCATCTGATGAGAGGGCGTTCCACATATATTTGGGACCAGGAAAGCAATTCCTATTAGAAATGGCAAATTAAAAAGCCATTCTGAGAACATTCATAGAGGGAAAAGATAAGTTATAAGTTTTGTGCTCCGAAACTGAACACCATAGTATTAGATCCAAACATTAATGGCATGAACGCCACCATTGAGACACGATCCACAAGTCTCCCCCGACCCCCGCCAGCCCCAGTGTGCAAAACACACCTCACATGAAATCCTTAAGAGCAAATGTTCAGATTTCAAAATCATCAGTACTGAGATAGCCAAACTTGTCAGGTTTTAAATCTCTCATTTTAAAAATATTATTGCATATTTATCCCACCTGTTCCTCCAGAGAGCTCAAGGTGGCTTAACATGGCTCTCCCCTTCTCCATATTATCCTCACAAAAACCCAGAGAATTTTAACATACACAATTAAGATATGATCTGCCAGAGGTCAGCTGCAAGCCGGTGAAAGAATCTGCCAAGAGAGCAAATTCCATTTAATAGGCACCTGATCTCTTGCATACTATCTCTCCCCCCCCCCCGAATATACTCAATTCCTGCAGACGTGACAAAAAAAACCCCTTCATGGATTCCTTAAACCATTACCACAACAGCTACTAATTCAGAGCCAGTTGCTAAGACTCAGAAGTAGTGAGAAGGGAGTAAAAGATCTGAACTAAGAATGGAAATTTACTGGTCCAGATAGTTGGATTAAAACTGGGGTTGCATATTCACCATACATTTAAACACACACACACCAAAGAATCCTGGGAACTGTAGTTTAAGGGTGCTGGGAATTGTAGCTCGGGGTGGGGACAGCAAACTACAGTTCCCAGGATTATTTGAGGAAAGCAATGTGCTTTAAATCTATGGTGTATAGATTTAACTGAAACAGATCTGCTCCCACAAGACGGGGAGAGAGAAGGGGCAAATCCTTAGACCATCACCAATTTTTAATTCCAGCGGGTCTCATTTCCCTATTACCAAGCCCTGAGCTAAACCTACAGCCCAATGACAAGGGCCCCGCAATCCCACCGATGGGAAAGGACTGGCCTTCGCGAGATCCACGCGCCCTCTGCTCCAGGGCCAGCCTGCTGTTGGGCCAGAACCCGCTACAAAGATGGCCGCCACATAACTCTCGAGCACTGGCAAGCCGCTCCACCACCCCTACTCTGGTTGCGGAAAACCTCCAACGGGCCCCTCTGCAAATGGCAATCAGCGTCACCACGGGGCACTGACAGAAGCTGCTTTGTGGACTGACTTTTAGCATGTTAATAAAATAATCAGGGGGGAAATGGTTGTGCCTGGTTTTTATTCTATCTATCTATCTATCTATCTATCTATCTATCTATCTATCTATTCTCTCTCACTCACACACACACATACAATCTCTCTCTCTCTCTCTTATTTGTGGAGTCCATTTGAGTCCAAAGATGGGCTGCTATGTGGAGCACCCCAAAACCTTCTCAGGTCCACAGATGATCTCAAGAAGCTTTTGAAGAAGCCAGGCGGTTATCACATGACCTGCTCTGGCCTGGTGTTGGCCAGACTCCAAACCTATTTGACCCCCACCCTCAGCCTGAGGTTCCCCACCTCTGCCCTACACTGGGCCAAACAGTAGTACAGTCAAACCTCGGTTATCAAACGTAATCCATTCTGGAAGACCGTTCGACTTCCGAAACGTTCCGACAACCAAAAGTGGAAGCCTTGATACAATAGAGAGACTCAAAACGGAAGGTGCACAGCACGTTCGGCTTCCGAAAGACGTTCAAAAACTGGAGCAGTTACTTTCAGCGTTCAGGAACCAAGGTTTGACTGTAGCATAGCTGTCAACCGTCCCTTATTTGGTGGGAAAGTCCCTTATCCCAGCGCTGTGTCCCGCTGCTGTCCCTTGAATTTCCCGGGTTTCAAAGGAAGCAGCTCCTCTCCCTCCCTCCCTCCCTGCCGGCCAGAGAGGAGGGAGGCTCCAACTGTGTTGCTTGGCTGCGTTGCTCACTCAATAAGGAGTCTAAGAACGACTGGGGGGTGGAGCTTGCATGCCTTGTGCCGATCAAATCGGCTGCATTGCCTGGGGACTTGCCTTTGCTCAGCGCTTCCCAGCGGAGAGGTGACTGTGGTTTTCCTTGCTGCATCCCCTTTGCCGGGTTGCTGCACTGTGGGAACCACCGCTTGAGGCTTCAATTGGCTGCTGGCTGGGCTTTCTGCCTTTGGCTCGGAGGGGCTCAGAAGTTGAACATATCTGTGCTCTGAAAATCCCTTATTTTGGCTGCTGATCCCTTATTTTCGAGGCTACTGGCCCCTTATTTTCAAATCTGTAAGTTGACAGCTATGGACTATAGAGGCCCAGAACTTAAAGCCCTCCATCAGTGATTCCAAATCTTCCCCGCCGCTTTAAAATTGCTGAGGGCCTCGGCAAGTCACTTAATGGTTTTCCTCTCCCTGTTGTAGCCTCTGATTTACTGCGCTAGACGCCATTTAGTTTTTAATTGCATCTGTATCGCTTCCTTTCCTACACTGCATTTTGTGGCATAAACATTCGAATCCCATAGAAAACAACCTGAGACACAATAAACAAATGATCCGATGCAATATGAGAAACTGAAAGAAGCAATGCTAATATAATTGAAAAACAGGATCTGAGTACAGTGGTACCTCGGGTTAAGTACTTAATTCGTTCTGGAGGTCTGTTCTTAACCTCAAACTGATCTTAACCTGAAGCACCACTTTAGCTAATGGGGCCTCCTGCTGCTGCTGCTGCGCCGCTGGAGCACGATTTCTGTTCTCATCCTGAAGCAAAGTTCTTAACCTGAAGCACTATTTCTGGGTTAGTGGAGTCTGTAACCTGAAGCGTACGTAACCTGAAGCGTATGTAACCCGAGGTACCATTGTATTTCATGAGCTGTGCCCATTCACAACCTCTGCTCCCCTACCTGCTGACCCCTAGCCAGTCGCTGAAAGGATTAGCACAACCTGCTTCGCAGCATGCTTTGGGCAAAGGACTTTAAAGCAACCCCTGCTCTCTTGTTTGAGGCTGAAACCCAGCACTAAGGATCCAGCGCACTGTCTCCCACCCCCACTGGCTGATATGACAGGCCGGCGATCCTGCTGGTTCTGGGTGTGCAAGAGCGCTCTCCTGCGCATCTGAAACTGCTCAGTTCAACCACACAGGGCAGACAGCAAAAAGCTGATAATGAAGAGGCTCTTTCCTTTGAAAGGAAGCAAAGAATATATATCTCTTCCCATTATCAGCATCTTGCTGCCTGCTGTGAGCTTTGAAGCCCTGACACATGGAGCCAAAAAAATTCTACACTGCTGATGTATAAAGATACATGGTGCGCTGTGCTATAATCGGGAACTAGGCGTAACTCAGTGACAGAGCACAGGCAGGCAGAAGGTTCCAGATTCAATCTCCAGTGTCTCCCTCCAGGTAGGGCAGAGAATATCCGATTTGAAACCTGTGGCAGCTGCTGCCAACCAGTGTAGTAACACTGTGCCAGGTGAACCAATAGTCTGATTCAGTATAAAAAAGCTTCCTGTTTCAAGGGCTGCTAACTCAGTGGCAAAGCATCTGCTTTGAACCGGGACCTTCTGCATGCAATAATTGCTAGGACCAGGAATTATGCTTGCCTGCAACCTTGGGAAGCTGCTGCCAGCCAGAGTCGACAATAATAATAATAAGAAGAGTTTGGATTTGATATCCCGCTTTATCACTACCCGAAGGAGTCTCAAAGCGGCTAACATTCTCCTTTCCCTTCCTCCCCCACAACAAACACTCTGTGAGGTGAGTGGGGCTGAGAGACTTCAAAGAAGTGTGACTGGCCCAAGGTCACCCAGCAGCGGCATGTGGAGGAGCCAGTGGCGTAGCGTGGGTTGTCAGCACCCGGGGCAAGGCAAGTAATTTGCGCCCCCTAACCCGTGGATTTGCACCCCCTAACCCGTGGATTTGCACCCCCTAACCCGTGGATTTGTGCCCCCTAACCCTAACCCCCAGATGTTGCGCCCGGCCCCCCCTGCACCCCCCACGCTACGCCACTGGGAGGAGCGGAGACGCGAACCCGGTTCACCATATTACGAGACTACTGCTCTTAACCACTACAGCATACTGAGCATGATGGGCTAACAGTCCCGACTCCACACAAGACAGCTTCCTAATCATGTGAGACTGCAGTGCTCAATACAGAGCGCTCATAAAGCAAGTGAGAGACATTAAAATTATCATTGGCAGAAATGCTACTGAAACAGCAATGCACACAGATTTGGACCAGGCTCCAATGAAAATGCCTATTTTCGCTGTCTTTTCTTCTCTTTCTTTGGCCCCCACCCCAAAATACAGTACCCCTCTCCACAAGCGTGCTAATTTAAATACAGTGGTACCTCGGGTTAAGTACTTAATTCATTCCAGAGGTCCGTACTTAACCTGAAACTGTTCTTAACCTGAAGCACCACTTTAGCTAATGGGGCCTCCTGCTGCTGCCGCGCCGTGGGAGCACGATTTCTGTTCTCATCCTGAAGCAAAGTTCTTAACCTGAAGCACTATGTCTGGGTTAGCGGAGTCTGTAACCTGAAGCGTATGTAACCTGAAACATATGTAACCCGAGGTACCACTGTATGCAACATCAGAGCAACTGATATGAACAACTTTGGCTGTGATGTTATTCCAAAGGAAAGACTGAAATTTGGTTGTCGCAACGATACCCTCCACAGTTCAGGAACGACACAAGTAGCCGGCTAGTTCGTTGCGTGCAGATCCGCAGCTCTTATGAAGAAGCACTTCGTGTGACAGAGAAAATTAAGGCGAGCCATCTCTTCCGCGGCCCCCTC